ATGCCAACCTCTCAAATTGTCCTTTTATTTGGCTTGGGAGTACTTAAAACAATTAGTGAAGTTATACTGAATTTTTGGATAATAAATAATTAGTGATTGTGAGTTTTAGAAAATGTATGGATAAAATATATATATTTTATTAGCTGAAATTATATTTTAAACATTCACTATTTACCACTTGTTTGCGCACTTGATGCATAATTTGTTCATTACACGAAATGTAAATAGAATATTATTCTATATAACTCTTTTATCACTAATATGAAGAAAGAATGAAAAAAAAAAATGTTTTTCTCAAAAAATGAAGACAAACGTTTGTTCACAAGAAGACGGAGTGAGCGTTGTCGTATTCCTGATATTATATACAGATAAAATAACACATTATTAATAGGAAACAATGTCCCTATGTTTCAATTATTGAAATTATAGTTGTCAAAGAATTTCTCCTTAAAAGATATGGGAGAAGTAACTTGATCTATAGAGATGGATCTAGAAGATTGATTGACCTTTCACTGTCTGCGCATATTTTATATGGAGAAAATGAACTAAAAGTTCAAAGACATACTGATGTAACTTCTAGTTGGACAAGGATGATAGTGAAAGTTTTAAATTATTTAGACTCACGTGCGGAATTACATAATTAAAAGCAACAAGACACTTTAAAATTGTTTCTAGATGATTAGATGAAACAAGTCAATTTATCCTAAATTCGAATACTACAATCAATAATTAAAGCAGTAAAAAATATCAAAGATGATCACGGAGAAACCTCAACTGGGTAAAACTTCGGGCACTTTGCTAATCAATAATCTACTATAAATCGAAGCAAACTTATAGTACGATCCAGACCCGTCTACCCCGTAGAACTTCTGATCTCAATTCATGCCGTCTCTTGATCTTACTGGAGGTGTGCTCCTTCAAAACAAATCTCGACTCCTAATTTAAACATTAGCCCTCCCGAACTACATGCTCCGACGCCTAGGGATGGCAACGGGGCAAGTCCGTTGGGTAATTCCCCATCCCATACCCGCCCCCATACCCGTTTAAGGCGGGGCGGGGCGGCCCCCCTGCCCTGTTTGTTATCGTTTTTTTTTTTTTGCGCCTCCAAATTCAACGTTTAATATATGTATTTAATTATGACATTTTCATATTACAGTAAATTAAAAACCCTTAAAAATTAAGTAAATGTTAGATTCAAAGTACTTCATGTTATATAATTACATTATCCATAGAGGCAAAAATAATTTGAAGATTTAAGTATAAGATAAAAATTATACATTTCAATAAATTACAAAATAGCGCACAAACAAACAGCACATGACACATAATGCAACTTTATCATGTTGACGTTGTGGATATTCAAGTGCTGTCATCTTCTTCTAGAATGTCTATATCATGCTCATTGAAAATTGATGACTGCACAAGTGATTATTAGTTAGACAAATGATGGATTTAACTATTTATATGCAAGTTCATTTAAAGAAAAATCAAATTACCTCCTCAAAATTATCAGTGTAACTCAACTGTGAATAGCATCCAGAGTACGATGTAGGTGATGAATGATCTAACAATTAATAGATCTAGTCAGCNTGGCGAATGTTCTAACAATAAATAAAACTAGTTAGCGGTAAAGAAATTATAGACATAACAATTATGAAAATCAAAGGAAATTGTATTTCTCGTACCATGAATGTCGCCCATAACCAATCTTTAGCACACATCAAAGCCTTTAAAGTGTTTGGATGAAGTCTATTTCTGTGTGGACTAACAAATCTTCCACTAGTACTGAATGCAAACTCTGACGCCATTGTGGATACTGGAATAG